GGGGGTAGCCTGGGGGCGGGGGGCAGCCGGGGACCCCTGCCCGGGGGCTTCTCAGGTGGAAACCCCTTAAAGAACATCAAGTGCACCAAGTGCCCGGAAGTGTTCCAGGGCGTGGAGAAGCTGGTCTTCCACATGCGAGCACAGCACTTCATCTTCATGTGCCCGCGCTGCGGCAAGCAGTTCAACCACAGCAGCAACCTCAACCGCCATATGAACGTGCACCGCGGCGTCAAGTCGCACTCGTGCGGCATCTGCGGCAAGTGCTTCACGCAGAAGTCCACATTGCACGACCACCTCAATCTGCACTCAGGAGCGCGGCCCTATCGCTGCTCCTACTGCGACGTGCGCTTCGCCCACAAGCCTGCCATTAGGCGGCACCTCAAGGAGCAACATGGCAAAACCACTGCCGAGAACGTGCTGGAGGCCAGCGTGGCCGAGATCAACGTCCTCATCCGCTAGCGGGGCAGAGGTGGAGGCCAGGAGGCTGGGGACCCTTGGGCAGGGTGGGAAGAGGGCTATTTGGCCCACGAGAATTGGGGAGGTGGGGGGGTCTGGGGCAGAAAGTTACAGTGGGGAGTTTGAGCAGACACACAAATCCTGAAGAAGGGAGGAAGATTTCTTGGAGAGAAAACCCTGCCTCTTCAGAGCAGGAGAAAAGGATGGAGAGGGAGGCAGGATTCTTTGAGAAAGTCAAGGGAATATGGGATCACAGAGAAAGATTTTCTTCTCTTAGAGGTGCATGTATATGTGGAGGGAGGGGAAAGGGTCCTATAGAATCAGGAAAAAGACTGGAAAATGTTTTGTTTCTGACTAAGGCTGCCCATAGGGAGGTTCTGACATTTCTTGAGGTAGTGGGTGGGTGGGTGGGAATAGGGAGGGAATTTGGCAGGAGGTGGCTTACATACTTCTGCGTAGAATAGATCCTTGGGAGAGGGAGTGGTAGGGGGAAACGATTACTGAATCCCAGAAAACGAAGGGGGGAGACAGTTCTTGCATGCTGGGGAAATGGGACTGTGGGTACAAGGCTTGCTGAAATTCAAGGGAGTACAAAGTGAGGTGCCAGGTAAGAGAACATGTGGTGAGCACCCGGGTAGATATTGGGAAGTGGGGGTACAATAGCAAGAACAGTGAATAGTGGTGGGGGTGGGGGGTTAGGGCACTTAGAAGAAAGGACACAAGAAGGGCTTGCAGGTAGGGAGAGGAGTAGAGACTTATACAGTATTTTTTAAGAAAACGTATTTTTTAGGATTTTTTCTGGCGTTTGAGGTTTTAGTTTTTCTGCTTTTGTTTTCCACAAAATAAAAACAAAAACAAAAACTTTTTTTTCTTTATACTCTGGCAACTGCGTGTATGACTCTCACCCTATACAGCCTCCTCTGATGCTGTGTGCTCAATACCCAGAGGTCACAACTCATGCAGGTCCCGTGCCTGAAGGAGCCCAGTCCTAAACAGGGGAGGGGGAGTGTGACAAGTGCGCTCCTCTAGCCAGGGACAAACCCTCTTCCCCCTACCAACCCCCTAGTTCTGCAATCTCCACACCTGGCCAGATACCTCACAGCACAAGTGATTGGCAGTTATGGTGATACAAATGAACTGCTCCTCTATTTGAGGGGTTTGGTATCAGTGCTAGGGATGAGCGACATGTGGCTGATATGCCCACCGAAACTGTAAGCAGGAGTCTATGTTTGGGTATTTTTTGTCTGGGAAAAATGGTTCATGTCCTGGAGAAACCTAAAAACTGCTAAATTTGGATTAGGGTGCGGGGAAGACTACAATTCCCAGAAAGCTCCGGAATAATAACGAAAGAGAACTACAGTTCCCAGAAGGCCTTGAATTGGCCTCAGGTGCCCCATATCCCAACCACCTGCCTATGTCCAATACTGCGTGTGAAATCACACAGATATTTTCCAAACCTTGACCAGAACGTAACACTTAGGGGGATGGTATCCTAAATACTGCTATCAAGGTTGTATATTTTGGTGTATATCATTCATACTTAAGCTGTCAGCTGGACTTATGGGACCCACAGAGTTCCCTGATTGTGCTTGTGAAGAGTTAGGCAAAGAAGGTTACTTACTGCAGCATCACTAGACAGTAATGACTCTCGGGCCGCGGGGTTTACCCGGGTCCCTAGTGCATGTGGTGGCGTAACACGCCTGGCATAAACAGAACAGACATTTAGCACCAGGTTTTCAAAAGGGAACGCTGCTCCAGGGGACATGAAGCAGCGTGCTAGAACCAGCCACAAGTAACGGTGTTCTCCGCGGATCCCTATCGCCCCTTTCTCGCTCGTAAATGAGGCAAGGCCAAAACTGAGGCCGAGTCTTCTATCTGGTGACCCAAAAACTAGAAAGAGAAAAGCAACGAGGGGCGGGAGAAGTACAAGCGGACCAGACAGAAATACAGCCGCTGCCCAGAGCCGGGACGCTCAGACGCTCCACTTGTTACCTAAAACCTGGAAGGGATGAAGAAGCCACATCTGGACCCAGGAGTGCCTCGGTTTCGCTTCCCTGCAGAACTGAGGTGGGGATAACAGGAATTCTCCCCTGCAGCCCCCTGTTTCGAATAGCCACTGCCATCTCCGAGGCCGCTCTCGAGGGGAAAATGGCCAGAAATCGCGTGAGAATCTTGAGGGAGATGGGGACCTGCATGGGGCCCGGATCCTGCTGGGTGAGAGGCTGGAGAGAGTGGAGTGAGGGGGGTCTTCTGGCTCTGCCTTCATTCTTACATTGCCTTCTGCCTGCCTGCCTGCCTGCTTGTCTTTTCTAGGCCATGCCACAAAGTCATTCCCCTCTTCCCCTAGCAAGGGGGGTGCTTGTCCCAGTCGAGCCAAGATGTCAATGACAGGGGCTGGAAAATCACCCCCATCAGTCCAGAGTTTGGCTATGAGGCTGCTGAGTATGCCAGGAGCCCAGGGAACTACGGGCCGTCCACCGGGCTGGGGGGCAGCGGGCGCTGGAGGGGTTGGTGCCCGGGGTCCCCGCGGCCTGGGGGACAAAGGGGGAGCGGCGCGTGCAGCCGGGAGGAGGGGGCGGGGCCGGGGCGCGGAGGCCCCGCCCCCTCCCCCTCCTCTCCTTTCGGCCCCAGAGATGAGGGGTCTACCGAGAGGGAGGGGGCTGATGCGGGCCCGGGGGAGGGGTCGTGCGGCCCCTCCGGGTAGCCGAGGCCGCGGAAGGGGGGGCCCTCATAGAGGAAGGGGTAGGCCCCGGAGCCTACTCTCTCTTCCCAGGGCCCAGGCATCCTGGGCCCCTCAACTCCCTACCGGGCTGACCAGCCCTCCTGTCCCTTGTCTCCCCTCTCAGGGGGAGGCCCCCGCTGAGATGGGGGCGCTGCTGCTGGAGAAGGAACCTAGAGGAGCCACCGAGAGAGGTGAGTGTAGCAGAAACGGACCCGGTTGTACCTTCATCTTCTCTAACACAGGATGCCCTAAGCCCTTAGCCCTGAACTTTTTCTCTTCCTCTACAGTTCATGGCTCTTTGGGGGACACTCCTCGTAGCGAGGAGACCCTGCCCAAGGCCAACTCCGACTCCCTGGAGCCTGCTGGGCCCTCATCTCCAGCCTCTGTCACTGTCACTGTTGGCGATGAGGGGGCTGACACCCCTGTAGGGGCCACACCGCTCATTGGAGATGAACCTGAGAATCTTGAGGGAGATGGGGACCTGCATGGGGCCCGGATCCTGCTGGGTGAGAGGCTGGAGAGAGTGGAGTGAGGGGGGTCTTCTGGCTCTGCCTTCATTCTTACATTGCCTTCTGCCTGCCTGCCTGCCTGCTTGTCTTTTCTAGGCCATGCCACAAAGTCATTCCCCTCTTCCCCTAGCAAGGGGGGTGCTTGTCCCAGTCGAGCCAAGATGTCAATGACAGGGGCTGGAAAATCACCCCCATCAGTCCAGAGTTTGGCTATGAGGCTGCTGAGTATGCCAGGAGCCCAGGGAACTACAGCAGCAGGGCCTGAACCCCCTCCAGTCACCACCAGCCCAGAGGGTCAGCCCAAGGTCCACCGAGCCCGGAAAACCATGTCCAAACCAGGAAATGGACAGGTGAGGATTAGGGAGTGGGGTGGGAGGCTGGGGTAAACCTTTGGTGGGTTTTTTTTACAATTTAGCTTCAGGCCTCTTCTGATCCATTCACATTGCTAAGGGGATGTTGTGTGTCAAATATTCGGGCTGGGCTTAATCTGTGAACAAACAGAATCCTAGCTTCTTCCTGGAGTTTGTTCTTGGGGTAGGGGTGGTGAGAGTAGAAGAGGCAGATGTTAGAAAGTTAATTATATAGTTAAGTCTTAATTACTCTTACGATAATGACTATGTAAAGGAACTTCAAACCACTCTTTCCTTCTGCCTCAAAGCAGGCCCTAAGGGAAATTTTTCATCGCTTGTTTGAAACTACCCCTGCTCTATTCGTAAAGTTTTAACAAGGAATCTCTACAGGAAAGATGAGGGCCCAAGGGAATGACTGACTCCCAGAAGCTTTATGACAAATTTTTAAGGGTTCTTAGTATTTTGTTCTAGGTGTGATTTGAGTAGCCCCAATCAGGATTTTTTTTTTCCTCCAATTTTTTTATATTGTGGTAAAATAAATATGACATAAAATTTACCATCTGAACCATTTTTAAATGTACAGTTCAGTGGTATTAAGTACGTTCTTAATGTTATGCAACCACCCATGTTCACAACTCTTCATCTTGTAAAACTGAAACTCTGCACCTGCTAAACAATAACTCCCCATAACTCCCTCCCTCCAGCCCCTGAAAACACCATCCTACTTTCTGTCGTTATGATTTTCACTACTTTAACTACAACATATAGGTGGAATCATAAAGTATTTGTCTTTTTGTGACTGGCTTATTTCACTTAGCATAATGTCCTCGAGGTGTTGTTACATATGTCAGAATTTCCTTTTTATGACTGAATAATATTTCATTGTATGTATATGTCATATTTTACTTATCCATTCATATGTCAATGGATTCTTGGGTCGCTCCCCTGTTTTAGTTATTGAGAATAATGCTGCTATGAAGTGAACACGGGTGTACAAAGGGCCTTTAACCGTGCTGAGTTTGTTTTCTCATCTCTAAAATGGGGAAAGGGACCTGCTTCTGCGTTGTTGAAGAGACAAGTGAGTGTTAGGTGCGGGGTGTGCTGTGCTTGACACGTTTCCTCTCGGAAACCAGCAGTTCTTGTTCTTACTGCCACTTTCTGGTTGCTGTGGCTTCAGAAGACATTTTCGGGGGCGTGGCTCACCACCCCATTCCACCTGGGACTCCAGGCAGAGCTGAAAATGCTCTCTGACCCTAAGTGTGCTCCCTCTTGGCCTCCAGCACCCAGTCCCTGAGAAGCGGCCTCCTGAAGTGCAGCACTTCCGCATGAGTGACGACGTGCACTCCCTGGGGAAGGTGACCTCAGGTCAGTCTCACACCCCCTGCCCACTGTGACTTGATGTGGCCTGTCCTGAGGGTTTAAAGTACAGGCCTCTCTCCTTTTTCTCTCTCTCCTTCCAGATGTGGCCAAAAGGAGGAAGCTGAACTTGGGAGGTGGC